CTGAGACTAGATACTACTGGTGTTACAACTACTTTATGTCTGATACCAGATACTACTGGTGTTACAACTACTTTATATCTGAGACTAGATACTACTGGTGTTACAACTACTTTATATCTGAGACCAGATACTACTGGTGTTACAACTACTTTATATCTGAAACCAGACACTACTGGTGTTACAACTACTTTTTATCTGAAACCAGACACTACTGGTGTTACAACTACTTTATATCTGAGACCAGATACTACTGGTGCTACAACTACTTTATATCTGAGACCAGATACTACTGGTGTTACAACTACTTTATATCTGAGACCAGACACTACTGGTGTTACAACTACTTTATATCTGAGACCAGATACTACTGGTGTTACAACTACTTTATATCTGAGACCAGATACTACTGGTGTTACAACTACTTTATATCTGAGACCAGACACTACTGGTGTTACAACTACTTTATATCTAAGACTAGATACTACTGGTGTTACAACTACTTTATATCTGAGACCAGACACTACTGGTGTTACAACTACTTTATATCTAAGACTAGATACTACTGGTGTTACAACTACTTTATATCTGAGACCAGACTCTACTGGTGTTACAACTACTTTATATCTAAGACTAGATACTACTGGTGTTACAACTACCTCATGCCTGAGGTCAGATACAAGGAGTGTTACAACAACCCCTGAGACGAGACACAACTGCTGCTACAAGTAGAGGCAACTTCTTGCTATTCTTAGAGGCAAAATATTTGATGAGTCACTGAACAACGAAAATAGACTGCTGTGGGTGATGTTTGTACCGAAGGTGGTGTTGGCGGGCTACAGCACAAGACAGGTGTAAGGGGAAATGTGTTGGACCTGTACATACTTATGCTAGAGATAGAGGCATACTGCATGGTGAAATAGACAGAATCTGTCCCAGCACAGCCATTCTTCCTGGACCAATAAACAACAAAGTCAAAATATATATTTATATAAATTGAGGGGTTATTGGAGATCCACGTTATATTTGGGATTACACTTTCTCAGTAAAGTCCTTATTTTAGTACTTTTTGTTGAGTTGAATCCCATCCAGGATTCAACACACACCCTCAGGGAGAGGCAACACACACCCTCAGGGAGAGGCAACACACACCCTCAGGGAGAGGCAACACACACCCTCAGGGAGAGGCAACACACACCCTCAGGGAGAGGCAACACACACCCTCAGGAGAGGCAACACACACCCTCAGGGAGAGGCAACACACACCCTCAGGGAGAGGCAACACACACCCTCAGGGAGAGGCAACACACACCCTCAGGGAGAGGCAACACACACCCTCAGGGAGAGGCAACACACACCCTCAGGGAGAGGCACCTAAATGCAGAGGGTTAGGCAGCTGACTTTGTGTGCTGGTGATTAGGTGGCTGACTCTGAGGATGTCGGCTCGAATCCTGGATGGGACTCATCCCAACAAGAAGTATTAGAATCTGTACCAAAATATAACATGTATCACATTTGACCACTTTCAAAATGGCATTGTGTATTCACATTAGAGTTTAAAACAGGTCATGTTATGCTATGTTTTGAATTTATTGGCAGCAAAGTACACATCCTTGAACACACCTTCATGTACACATCCTTGAACACACCTTCATGTACAGAAACTTGAACACACCTTCACTTACACATCCTTGAATGCACCTTCATACACACATCCTTGAACTCACCTTCACGTACACATCCTTGAAAACACCTTCATGCACACATCCTTGAATGCACCTTCATGCACACATCCTTGAACACACCTTCATGTACACATCCTTGAACACACCTTCATGTACACAAATCCTTGAACAGACATTCACATACACATCTTTCAACACACCTTCATGTACACATCATTGAACACACCTTCATATACACATCCTTGAACACACCCTCATGTACACATCCTTCAACACACTCTCATGTACACATCCTTCAACACACTCTCATGTACACATCCTTGAACACACCCTCATGTACACATCCTTGAACACACCTTCATGTACACATCATTGAACGCACCTTCACGTACACATCCTTGAACACACCTTTATGTACACTTCCTTGAACACACTTTCAAGCTTGTGAAAAAAAATCACAGTTGAAAATCTTGACACTTCAACATCAAATTTGGGGAGTCTCCATCTTGAACAACATATTTGTAGGGATAACATGATACATGTGTAGGGATGGCATGATACATGTGTAGGGATAACATGATACATGTGTAGGGATAACATGATACATGTGTAGGGATGGCATGATACATGTGTAGGGATGGCATGATACATGTGTAGGGATAACATGATACATGTGTAGGGATAACATGATACATGTGTAGGGATAACATGATACATGTGTAGGGATGGCATGATACATGTGTAGGGATGGCATGATACATGTGTAGGGATAACATGATACATGTGTTGGGATAACATGATACATGTGTAGGGATGGCATGATACATGTGTAGGGATAACATGATACATGTGTAGGGATAACATGATACATGTGTAGGGATGGCATGATACATGTGTAGGGATAACATGATACATGTGTAGGGATAACATGATACAAGCTGGGCATATCTGTCATGCAGCAAGCTGGGTATATCTGTCATGGAACAAGCTGGGTATATCTGTCATGGAACAAGCTGGGTATATCTGTCATGGAACAAGCTGGGTATATCTGTCATGGAACAAGCTGGGTATATCTGTCATGCAACAAGCTGGGTATATCTGTATGATGTTGAATATCTGTGGAGACAAAGTCCAGGGTATATCTCCCACCCATATGTTTTCTGTGTATCTTGACTGCCATGAAACTTCAGGTGAGAACATGTGGCAGCAGGAGATGTAGGCCAGTTCGTCAGGAATATCAGGGCAATATCCTACACCTGAGAATATGCTTGGAACTCCCTCTGACGTCTTGAACCCCCACTGACATCTACAGACTGTATGGCAGAGAAACCACCTGGTAGTAGGCTTGCCTGTACACAGTTCATATCTGATATGTACTGCCAGTATCTTATCAGAGACTGTGATTGTAACTAATGATATGTACTGCCAACATTATAAGTATCTTATAAGAGATTGTGATTGTAACTAATGATATGTACTGCCAACATTATAAGTATCTTATAAGAGATTGTGATTGTAGCTAACGTCAGCTACGTATGTATTTGTTCCCAACCTGTGTGTAATGTCTTATTTGCCAGCTGAATCTTATTCCCCACATGCGTGACATGTCTTATTCCCCACCTGTGTGACATGTCTTATTCCCCACCTGTGTGACATGTCTTATTCACCACCTGTGTGACATGTCTTATTCACCACCTGTGTGACATGTCTTATTCACCACCTGTGTGACATGTCTTATTCCCCACCTGTGTGACATGTCTTATTCCCCACCTGTGTGACATGTCTTATTCCCCACCTGTGTGACATGTCTTATTCCTCACCTGTGTGACATGTCTTATTTCCCACCTGTGTGACATGACGTATTCCCCACCCGTGTGTGACATGTCTTATTCACCACCTGTGACATGTCTTATTCACCACCTGTGTGACATGTCTTATTCCTCACCTGTGTGACATGTCTTATTTCCCACCTGTGTGACATGACGTATTCACCACCTGTGTGACATGTCTTATTCACCACCTGTGACATGTCTTATTCACCACCTGTGTGACATGTCTTATTCACCATCTGTGTGACATGTCTTATTCACCACCTGTGTGACATGTCTTATTCACCATCTGTGTGACATGTCTTATTCATGTCTTATTCACCCACCTGTGTGACATGTCTTATTTCCCACCTGTGTGACATGTCTTATTCCCCACCTGTGTGACATGACATTTCCCACCTTGTGTGACATGTCTTCACCATGTGACATGTCTTATTCACCACCTGTGTGACATGTCTTATTCCTCACCTGTGTGACATGTCTTATTTCCCACCTGTGTGACATGTCTTATTCACCACCTGTGTGACATGTCTTATTCACCACCTGTGACATGTCTTATTCACCACCTGTGTGACATGTCTTATTCACCATCTGTGTGACATGTCTTATTCACCACCCTGTGTGACATGTCTTATCTTATTCCTCACCTGTGTGACATGTCTTATTTCCCCACCTGTGTGACATGACGTGTATTCCCCCACCTGTGTGACATGTCTTATTCACCACCTGTGACATGTCTTATTCACCACCTGTGTGACATGTCTTATTCACCACCTGTGTGACATGTCTTATTCACCACCTGTGTGACATGTCTTATTCACCACCTGTGTGACATGATCTTATTCCCCACCTGTGTGACATGTCTTATTCCCCACCTGTGTGACATGTCTTGTTCCCCACCTGTGTGACATGTCTTATTCCTCACCTGTGTGACATGTCTTATTTCCCACCTGTGTGACATGACGTATTCCCCACCTGTGTGACATGTCTTATTCCCCACCTGTGACATGTCTTATTCACCACCTGTGTGACATGATTCATGTGACTTATTCACCACCTGTGTGACATGTCTTATTCACCATCTGTGTGACATGACTTATTCCCCACCTGTGTGACATGTCTTATTCACCACCTGTGTGACATGTCTTATTCCCCACCTGTGTGACATGTCTTATTCCTCACCTGTGTGACATGTCTTATTTCCCACCTGTGTGACATGTCTTATTCCCCACCTGTGTGACATGTCTTATTCACCACCTGTGTGACATGTCTTATTCACCACCTGTGTGATATGTCTTATCCTCACCCACTACCTGTGTGACATGCCTTATTCACCACCTGTGTGACATGTCTTATTCACCACCTGTGTGACATGTCTTATTTCCCAACTGTGTGACATGACGTATTCCCCACCTGTGTGACATGTTATATTCCTCACCTGTGTGACATGTTTTATTCCTTATCTATACAACTATTGACAGCTACTCACCAATATCGTCAGGTATCTCGAGATCCATGTTGTAAGGTAAGGGGGACCTCTCTGCAATAGAACATAAAAAATGATTCTGTCAGTTTAATGTTAAGAACTAAAACATGCACGCAAAAGTATCCAACCGTCTTGGTCCAACATGGTGACCACTGTAACACTTTCACTGTCTACATTACTGTGTGGTGATCAATCCTAGGAATGATGGTTCAGTCAGTCATCTACATTACTGTGTGGTGATCACTGTCCTGGATGATGGTTCAGTCGGTCATCTACATTACTGTGAGGTGATCAATCCTAGGAATGATGGTTCAGTCAGTCATCTACATTACTGTGTGGTGATCACTATCCTGGATGATGGTTCAGTCAGTCATCTACATTACTGTGTGGTGATCACTGTCCTAGGGATGATGGTTCAGTCAGTCAGTCATCTACATTACTGTGTGGTGACCACTGTCCTGGATGATGGTTCAGTCAGTCAGTCATCTACATTACTGTGTGGTGATCACTGTCCTGGATGATGGTTCAGTCAGTCATCTACATTACTGTGTGGTGATCACTGTCCTGGATGATGGTTCAGTCAGTCAGACATCTACATTACTGTGTGGTGATCAATCCTAGGAATGATGGTTCAGTCAGTCATCTACATTACTGTGTGGTGATCAATCCTAGGAATGATGGTTCAGTCAGACATCTACATTACTGTGTGGTGATCAATCCTAGGAATGATGGTTCAGTCAGTCATCTACATTACTGTGTGGTAATCACTGTCCTGGATGATGGTTCAGTCAGTCATCTACATTACTGTGTGGTGATCACTGATGGATGATGGTTCAGTCAGTCAGGGATGATGGTTCAGTCAGTCATCTACATTACTGTGTGGTAATCACTGTCCTGGATGATGGTCAGTCAGTCAGTCATCTACATTACTGTGTGGTGATCACTGTCCTGGATGATGGTTCAGTCAGTCATCTACATTACTGTGTGGTGACCACTGTCCTGGATGATGGTTCAGTCAGTCATCTACATTACTGTGTGGTGATCACTGTCCTGGATGATGGTTCAGTCAGTCATCTACATTACTGTGTGGTGACCACTGTCCTGGATGATGGTTCAGTCAGTCATCTACATTACTGTGTGGTGATCAATCCTAGGAATGATGGCAGATCACTATTGGCCATCTGTGGTTGCAACATCATTATGTATTCCTTTGTCACAACTCTGATTTCAAATATCAAAAACAATTAATGAAAGTGTTGGCAAGTGCAAATGATTAATCCTCTGACCTATTCAAAACAATGAGGCTCCTAGATAATTAGGCTTCAAAACAACGGAGCAACAAAACATTTAGGCTTCAAAACACAGAGGCTACAAGACAATGTTAAACTAGATAAAGAGGCTACAAAACAAGGAGGCAACAAGCCGAGGGGAGGGACCCCTCAATATCAATAGTGTGTGATATGTCACAATGTAATCATATTTTACAGAAAATAAAACAATTTAAATTAAAATTGTAAATACAATAAAAAGGAGCCCAGGAACTTTCTTGAAACTGTCGAAATCTAGACTTGCCACATTTTCTAGAATTGCATGGGCTTTCTTGGATATATTTGCTTTAGGGTCTGTACGACAGACTAGCTGTGTGTGTACTGCGTTGTACTGCGCTGAGAGGTCTCCTGCAGTATCGTATGTCTGGGATGTCAAGGACAGTATTCCCCTACAAGAAGCACGTTGATGGTTTCTCCATATGTTGCTATTTTCATCAGTGCTCAGTACCTGTTTACTGTTTGCTGGAGTCACTGCTGCTGGTGTCTGCTATAAGCTAGTAAAGTTCATGAATGAAACTGCTTTCAAGTATATGCTCTGAACATCACATTTTCTATTTTTATCTGATTCAGTTACAAGTTCCCTGTCTTCTACTTCACCAGAACATTCACTAGAAGTGAATGACGTAACCCCCAGGGTACTACTTACATTCACTAAATCGAATGATGTAACCCCCAGGGTACTACTTACATTCACTAGAAGTGAATGACGTAACCTCCAGGGTACTACTTACATTCACTTCCATGTGACTCAATGTCCTCCAGACTGTCCTGAACCGCACACCCTAGTCTAATGTCAGTCTCTCAATATATATTATTTTGATCGTAACAAATAATCCCATTTTTAGTGAAAAGGTGCTTCAGTGAGATATGAGATCCTGAACCTGAGGAAATCTGAACTTGCATCATTTAGGGCTGAGGCATTGCCAGGAGTGCTGGACAGTAGGGAACATAATGTGGTTCAGGGACTGTGAGACAGACTACATTGCCAGGAGTGCTGGACAGTAGGGAACATAATGTGGTTCAGGGACTGTGAGACAGACTACACTGCCAGGAGTGCTGGACAGTAGGGAACATAATGTGGTTCAGGGACTGTGAGACAGACTACATTGCCAGGAGTGCTGGACAGTAGGGAACATAATGTGGTTCAGGGACTGTGAGACAGACTACACTGCCAGGAGTGCTGGACAGTAGGGAACATAATGTGGTTCAGGGACTGTGAGACAAACTACACTGCCAGGAGTGCTGGACAGGGAACATAATGTGGTTCAGGGACTGTGAGACAGACTACATTGCCAGGAGTGCTGGACAGTAGGGAACATAATGTGGTTCAGGGACTGTGAGACAGACTACATTGCCAGGAGTGCTGGACAGTAGGGAACATAATGTGGTTCAGGGACTGTGAGACAGACTACATTGCCAGGAGTGCTGGACAGTAGGGAACATAATGTGGTTCAGGGACTGTGAGACACACTACCCACATCCATACTCTATACATGACCTTGACCGGACCCTGATTCTGACATGTTTTGCTGTGTGTCCTGATAGACATTGACAGCAACAGTTGGTCCAGCCATGACAGGAATCCCACCTTGACAGTCAACCTGAACATGGTGCACTTTGGTCTTACAGAATAATGAGTTCAGATTATACATATAGATGTATCTGAGCAAGTCATAACTGAATTGTCTGTTCCTGACTTGATTTACAGGATGCTATCACCAAGCTGGAATATTGCTGATTGTTATACAATCAACAATAATGTCACATTAAGTTCTAGACTGTCTGGAAATGTTGAGGTAATGTCTGTAGATTTCAGCAGGAAGTCACTGAATTCTGTGATGCGCTCACCACACCAGAGTCTTGAGTGGAACCAGTAGAGCATGAACACACATTACAACATGGAGCCTTGAGTGGAACCAGTGGAGCATGAACACACATTACAACATGGAGCCTGGAGTGGAACCAGTGGGGCATGAACACACATTACAACATGGAGCCTTGAGGGGAACGAGTGAAGCGTGAACACACATTACAACATGGAGCCTGGAGGGGAACCAGTGAAGCATGAACACACATTACAACATGGAGCCTTGAGTGGAACGAGTGAAGTGTGAACACACATTACAACATGGAGCCTGTAGGGGAACCAGTGAAGCGTGAACACACATTTCAACATGGAGCCTGGAGAGGAACCTTGATAGTTGTGAGTATTTTATTATTTGCTATTTAAGCAACATGACCAAAGAGTTTTTTGACAGGGTAATGATGTCATCTGTGCGATGACGGTAAATTTTGCTGCAATAGTTATGCTTCACTCAGAACACGGTTTTATATTTTAACTGGATTATAGTGCATCTTGGACACATTCCAACATTCTGCGCATTAATTGTAGTAATTCCGCATTTTTTAATAACAAGGTTACCCAGAGTTTCTTCAGCAGCCTCTGCAGCTGTGCAGGGATGGAGATACAGCCAGGCTATTTACCCGCAGTCATGTCAGACAGGCAAGGCACAGATAACAGCAAGAGTTTGCCAGCACATGTTAATTGCCCAGAACACCAGGTGAATCTTATCTACAGATTAAAGTCCATTGCTCTGTTTGGAACTTCTTGTGAATTGTATCAGAAAATAAATACATGAAAAGATGAGTTAACTATATTTTCCTTCATAAAACACAGGAAGATCCATGTTAGAACAGATCTTGTGCTAACCCTGCTTCTAACATCAGGACAGTAAGGGGATTGTGGTAGTGGGGTGCTGGTGGTGTCGGGGGTGGGGTTGGGGTGCAGGTGAGGTAGGGGTGCAGGTGGGGTTGGGGTGCAGGTGAGGTAGGGGTGCAGGTGGGGTTGGGGTCTGAGGGGGTTGGGATCTGAGCTGGCGGGTGTGTGTTGCTGATGGGAATGGGAAGCTGGTGCGGGTGGGGTCACCATGTACATATATTGGTCACCATATTGGTCACCATGTACATATATTGGTTACCATGTACATATATTGGTTACCATGTACATATATTGGTCACCTTACAGTACGGTTGGTTATCATATAGAGAGAATGGTCACTATGTGGAACAGTTGGTTATCATGTAGAGAGAATGGTCATTATGTAGTACAGTTGGTTATCAAGTAGAGAGAATGGTCATTATGTAGTACAGTTGGTTATCATGTAGAGAGAATGGTCACCTTGTAGTATGGATGGTTATCATGAAGAGAGAATGGTCACTATGTAGGACAGTTGGTTATCATATAGAGAGAATGGTCACTATGTAGAACAGTTGGTTATCATGTAGAGAGAATGGTCACTATGTTGAACAGTTAGTTATCATGTAGAGAGAATGGTCACTATGTAGAACAGTTGGTTATCATGTAGAGAGAATGGTCATTATGTAGTACGGTTGGTTATCATGTAGAGAGAATGGTCACTATGTAGAACAGTTGGTTATCATGTAGAGAGAATGGTCATTATGTAGTACAGTTGGTTATCAAGTAGAGAGAATGGTCATTATGTAGTATGGTTGGTTATCATGTAGAAAGAATGGTCACTATGTAGAACAGTTGGTTATCATATAGAGAGAATGGTCACTATGTAGGACAGTTGGTTATCATGTAGAGAGAATGGTCACTATGTTGAAAAGTTGGTTATCATATAGAGAGAATGGTCACTATGTAGAACAGTTGGTTATCATGTAGAGAGAATGGTCATTATGTAGTACGGTTGGTTATCATGTAAA